TTCCTTCGACTTCGAAATGGCGACGTGGATGCCGAATTTAACGATATATTCTTGGTATTACCAAGGTAAGGGTAATACGGACAGTCGCCTGACAAAATAAAGCAACGGATGCTGATGGGTTCGATAATCACCCACTAACAAGGAAGCCGGTGAAGATGCTGCTGCTAACTTTGAATCGGAAGCTCAACTTAACATCATCCAAGTTATGTCTATTCCTGTCTTGGCTTCTGTCTGTATGAAGATTTTTGTGGTCCATGCTTGTTCTCAATTGACGGGTATCAACGCTATTATTACTATTCACCTCTATTTTCGAACTCTCCTTTGGAAATAATGCAAAGTATGTTACATTGGTGTTGCTGCTTTAAATGTAGTCGTTACGGTAGTAGGACTTTCCTTAATTGATCGTCTTGGACGTAAGACACTCTTATTGATTTCAATTGCTGGTATGTGTATCTGGTGTGTCATTATGACCATTGCCATGCGTTTCTTGGTAGGTGCACTTCAAGTTGTTTGTATTATGCTCTACGTTGCTTCCTATGCTGTTGGTTATGGTATGATTCCCTTTGTACTTAACGGAGAATCCTTCCCTACATACGCAGTGGGTGCAGCTTCCTCTGCTTGTTTAGCCATCAATTGGCTTTTCAATTTCGTCATTGGTTTAATTTTCCCTACCTTATTGGCAGCTTGTGGACCATATGTGTTCTTGATTTTTGCAGGACTCAGTTTGTTTGTTTTCCTATTTGTATTAGCCTTTATCCCAGAGACCAAGCAAAAGTCTCTTGATGAAATTGGTCGACAACTTGGGTGGTACGGCATTGATGTAGCCGAGGCTCTGAATCGAAAAAGAATAAGACCAAGATTTAAAATAACTTGTTAAAAGAACAATGTCAACTTTCACTTGTATTTCTATATCATTACTTATTATTATAACACACACTCTACATAAAACATAAAACAAAACAAAAAAACATTACCAGTGTACCCAAATAAAACATTAATTTTGTTATCATCTTTTTTTTTATTATTATTATTTTGCCGTTAAATCACTTGGCATAATAGAATGATTTTAAAGTTCAATCATGGATGCAGTTCCTAGAAAAGACAGCCCGTGGATCTTTTGTGTTTGTCGTAGCACATCATCTTTTGTACTCCCCATCTGTTTTCCTCCCTGAAATATCCATCAAATGATCAAAGACACTTCGCTTTTTTTATTGTTAGTCCGAAGATAGATCATCACCAATAAATGACTATATTTAACTAGGTGATAGTCATTGCCAAGAAAGATCCACTACCATACGTTTGTTCAAACAAATGATTTTCCTTCTTTTTTTTTTTTTTTTTTTTTTTTTTGCCAAGAAACTTGAGTAAATATTAGCCATTTCCTTTTTGGGATTTCTTCTTTTTCCCTATATATTTTATTCATCCCTAAATCGCCAAGATAAATATGGCCACCTTTTCTTCTTTGTTTCAATCATGAATATCCCTCCGCTTGAACTATCCAAGTATCTGACAACATCGACTGACAAGATAAAAAGTACATCTATTGCATTTATTTTGACTCCGCCCACCTCACCAGATTCAAACGACCCTCCTATGCCAACAGCAACAACAGAAACAACAGAAACAAAGAAGCGAAAGCTTGACGGAGATTCAGATATACCCACTACCGATGAGAAAAAGACCAAAATCCAAAAGAGTCAAACCTTAGACCTGAATTTATTGGATTTGTATTTATCGAGTGGAAAATCCATGGATGTAAAAGACGCAACATACGGATTAAATCTCTTATGTTGGGCTTGTCAATGCAAATCGATAGAAGCAGTCAAAAAGATATTACAGCAAGGCGATATTGATATCAATCAAAGACTGGGTCCTCATCAAATCACCGCACTTCATGTGGCCGCCGCTGTAGATTTTTCATTTGGAATCGATTATTTAACTCAGCATCCAAACCTTGATTTGAATCTCAAAGACGTCTATGGATTGACTGCGGTGCATTACGCAGCACGGCACTCTAAAACCGATTCCATGGCAACCTTATTGGAAGCAGGAGCCCGTTCTGATTTATACGATCGACAAGGAAAATCTGCATTACACTATGCTATTCGCAACGCAAACACGAAAATCGCCAATATGATCTTATCGAAACGTGGAAGAAACAACCCGACTTTTACAAACTTAATATGGGCTTCTTTCAATGATAACAATTGTCCTATTGAAGAATCTATCATCATGGCAGTTGGAAATTCAACAGAAATGCTAAAGCAACTTTTAATCGCCGGTTCGTTAATATCACTCCAGTCCGGTGGTTGGTGGGAAGACAGATATTTACATAAACGAAATAACCTCATTGAACTATGCATTGATTGGAATCGCTTTGATTGTCTGCGCTATTTAGTAGTCAATACCAGTATACCTCTTTTGCCTCAAGCCCTAGACAAAGCCGTTCGTCAGCGCAAATTGGATTTTGTAGTATATCTATGTGATCATGTCGGCATCAATCCATGTCTCCAAAATGGAAACAATCCATCACTTTTATACGCTGCTAATCATGGGTTTATGGAAATGATACCGTATTTGTTACAATCAACAACATCTATCGACTGTATTCAACAAGCCATTTTGTTTACAAGGATGGTCGGAAAAGACAAGCAATTCTGTGACATACTAAAACAACAGTGGAAGCCTCCGACAGCCTCAAATGAATGAACATTTCGTTTTGTAAATAATACCAAAAATAAAAAATCTTTAATACCCCCTTCCTTCTTTAAATTTGTAAAGCTATGACAAAGCATCTTCATTTAGTTCATCCCGAACTCTCCGGGAGTCAATCCCGGGATTATTCGCGGTTTCTGTTATAATCGTCGCTGGGTTGAATTTTATCAAGTTAAGGAATGCTTATGCAATTTTTACCTAATATTTCCTTGGCAGGAGGCAAACCTTTAGTTTATAGCAATATGCATTCTACAAAAAAAAAGAGTAAGTCGTAAGCATATAAAGACAACTGCTCAAGATACATACATCATGTCAACTACATGATATCATCACAACATACGATAGCCTGTATTACATATGACCGAAACAAGCGTGGTGAGACAATGATCAAACAGTTGAAAACTTTAATTATTTGTTTTTCCACTCTATTTTTTAATACCTTGAACATGTGTCTAAAAAACGTCATTTGAGTCCTGTTTTGTTCAGCTGCTTACTTGAGCATCTTACCAATTTAAATCATACAAATGTTATGTCATTTGAAGATAAATTACGTTGGAAGACCAAACTGATTGATACTCATTCGAATACAATGATTAAGTAGATTTTCTAACAAAATTAGTTTACCAAGCAGTTGGTTATACATATGCGTGTACACATTGCCCAAAAGGGATATTCTAGAAGCTTGCTCATATCTCCCAGAGATAGACAGTCATTAAAAGCTTAGCTTGTCTTCTCCTTTGTCATCGCATATGTTGCTAATGAGAAGAATCATTACTCGCCAATTATTAAGCTTCGTATGCTTGGTAGATTAAAAGAAGTGACTTAAGATTTTTTAGACCACTACAGTGGCGAATAACTTGCTCTCAAAAAACTGCAAAAACTGTTACTTCCCGCAAGTAAGTTTAATTATTAAAACAGTGCTAAAGGTAGGTTTTTATTTTGAAAATGAGACATAGGTGTATCTCCGTGATTACAACTGCTTTTTAAGCGAAGCGATAATTACTCGAATCAACGTGGAAAATGAGCCATTTTATCCCGTGGCAAACGAATATAAGAATCCTTGTTTATATAATCAAGGATTACTCCATTTTCGAATTCTGCCATAATTTCATCACGAGAGGTGACAATTATTCTTGTGTTTTTCTTACATTTGATATTCATTCGGTTACTTCTGACTGTTTTTTTTCGATAGCGTTCCGCCATAAAACTCTCGTCACAAGCATTTAAAGCATAAGTGGATGATTCTTGATGATAATAGATTGCATTACCCTCATCTCCATAGTCGAAGCAGACAAAACCAAAGTCCATGTACCGTGACACGAATTCAATCTCAAAGTGAAAAGTCTTAAGATTTCTAAAAATCGTTAAATCATACTTAAACAAATTGGATTTCCCCGATACGTTTACTGGATTGACGCAAGACACGAATTCAATGTTTGGCAAACGCTTTGATATTATTCTCAACAGTTTTGGTGGAGGAACAAAACAGCAGGATTCCATAGACCTCAAGTTTTCTTTCGTGTTTGTTGCTGACAGGTGATGTTTTTTTTTAGTTGCAATCGAATGATTGGCATCCCTACCAATGGTGATGCCCTCGTTTAATTTTCCTATGCAACAAAAATCAAAAAGCTCGAGATTGGGATAGTTGGTCAATACATAATCTATAAATTTAAATTGGAAGTCTTGGCCCTTGTCACAAGTAATAACAGCATTCAAATAATTGACAATTTCTAGTCCAGTTCCTGAGATAGATACGTCTGGCAAAATAAAGTTGATATCCGGCTTTCTCCAGTCTCCTTCTTTGTAATCGCAGTCCTCCAGGTCATAGGAAAGATGTAACCCATCTAAGGAATTATACTCTAGACAATCAAGTTTCGTTCTAAAATCGGGGTAATCAGCGATGTCCATTTGACAAAAAGGATTCTTAGTTCCCTTAAGAACGTCTACCACCTTAAAAAAAATGGTCATCTTTGTTTCAGGGAGCTCTGCGATTTTTCGGCCAATGGGTATCGCTTGAAAATTCAGAATGGCTGAGTTTAGCGTACTTAATCGGCTAAGAAACTTCACAACGTTATCCCATTCCATATCAATTAACCAGTCATATAAGTCGACGCCACCTGTTGTCATTTCCAGAGTGGAAAGCTGGGTGAAAACACAACTATTCAAATATTTTAGATACTCCACTGGTATTGCAGACCTTATAACCAATCTTTCTAAGTGATTTTGTAAGTTGAGATTAGCAGGATCATCCATAAACGCATTAATTTTTTCTTCTGTGCCACCAAAACCAATTCCATAGTCAAGCGATGTCAAATTTGGACATGCTTCTTGAATTTCAAATATCGTCACTTTCGAATAATAACTATCCATTACTGTCAAATCTTTTAAATTGGGAAATTGTTTTAAATAGTCAAGTGTTCTGTTGAGTTTTTCAGCACCTATATCTATCATGTCATGATATTCAAACCACATACTGGTAATAGTCTGGCGATACTTATAACACAATGCATAATGCATTTTAAGTACATCAAGACACTTGTAGTGGGGGAGTCTGAAGGTTTGAATTTGATTTAGACACTTCTTTGACTTTGTGTTGATTAGATAACCATAGTAATTTTCATGGCATTCACTATCGGATACGTCCAACGTTTTTATATTTGGAAAATACTCTAAAAAAGTTACCAATTCCTCTTCACTCAATTCTTCTGAAGGGTGGTACCGAATTGCAGACAGTTTGATTTTTTGGACCAGAGTTCCGTATTTAAAGTATTCGTCACGTTCAGACATGCCCAGTTTCAAAAGTCGATTGAGACTACTATAGCCACCTCGTCCCAGATGCAGTTCCTGATATAGGATACAAAGTGCAGGTTTGGTCCAACTTTTACATACAAGAGCATATTCCAAAGTTTCTAGTGGCACCAAGTAGAGAAATATTTCACTAAGGGTTTCAAAGGGAAGATCTAGAATGTGCATCTTAGACTTTATCTTGATTTATTTCTTTTAAAAGAAGAGAAAGAGACTAACAGTTCAGCCACACGAAGAAAGAGTAGACTTCAGGTATCCGTAAAAGGATAGGTACCCACAAATATGTAGCACGAGTTGTGTAACAAGTAAAGGATGAAATATATATCTGTGCTGCGGTTACCCTGTTTTTTCTGATTCGCTTTTAGAGATACCAACTAGTCACTAATTTTGAAAAAGCTAATATTGCTCTTGCTTTGTGACCAACGCTTTATACATTTACCCATAAAACTTTTGTTACTTATTAAAGTCTATAGGCGTATTACTAACTGGAGGTGTTTGTTTCAATTTCTTGTTATTTTTGCTGATCTCATCCAAAACACCTGGTGTAAAACACAGAATTTATATTTTCATGCCAAACTAAACAAGCTCAATAGCGCGCTGCAAAATAAACATTGCAAATGATTCTTGTTTAAAGTGAGGATCATAAATTATTATTCGAGCTACAATCATATACTCCCGTGTTGTACTGTTGCCGAAAAAGAGTAAGAAGGTAGAATTAATGGCATAGTATTGACTCTATCTTTTTTATCTACTAAAGCCGATTGCTATTATTGATCTGATAGTAAAAGCTAATACTCAGACGATTTATGGGATACACTTTGCCTCTAATATGTCTTCGTCCCATACCGATTGCTCTCAAAAGATTGCAAAAGCTAAGACTTCCGACGAATAATTGTTATTTATAAAAAATAGTGCTAAAGGTCGCTTTTTATTTCTAAAGTGAGATTAGGCGTATCAAGCGAAGCGATAATCAATCGAATGAACGCACATCAAAAAATATTTTATCCCGTGGCAAACGAATATAAGAATTTTTGTTGATATAATCAAGGATAACTCCATCTTCGAATTCTGCCATAAGATTACCACAAGAGCTGACAATTACTCTTGTATTCTTCTTGCATTTGATGTTTATCCGGCAACTTCTGACAGTGTCTTTGCTATAACACTCCACCATAAAACTCTCGTCACAAGCAGTTAAAGAATAAGGGGACGTTTCTTGGTGATAATAGATTGCATTACCCTCCTTTCCATAGTCGAAGCAAACAAACCCAAAGTCCATGTGCCGGGATACGAATTCAATCTCAAAGTGAAAAGTCTTCAGATTTTTAAAAATCGTCGTATTATATTTAAACAAATGAGATTTCCCCGATATGTTTACTGGATTGATGCAAGACGCAAATTCAATGTTTGGTAAATGGGTCGCTATCATTCTTAACATTTTTGGAAGAGGAAAAAAACAGTAGGATTCAATAGACCTCAAGTTTTCTTTCGTGTTTGTTGCTGACAGGTGATATTTCTTTTTAGTGTCCATCGAATGATTGGCGTCCCTACCAATGGTGATGCGTTCGTCTAATTTTCTACGGCAAAAAAAATCAAAAAGCTCGAGATTGGGGTAGTTGGTCAATACATGATCTATAAACTTAAATTGTAGGTCCCGGCTCTGATCACATTCGAAAATAACAAATAAACAATTGACAATTTCTAGTCCAGTTCCTGATATGGATACGTCTGGCAAAATAAAGTTGATATTGGGGGTTTTGCAGTCACCTTTTTGGTAATCACAGTCTTCCAGACCATAAGAAAGATGTAAGCCATCTACGGAATTATACTCCAGAGAATCATAATTCATCCTTACTGTTTGGCAGTCAGCGATATCCATTTGACAAAAAGGATCTTTATTTCCCTTGAAGACGTCTACCAACTTGAAAAAAGTGGTCATCTTCGTTTCAGGCATTTGTCCATATTTTCTGTAACTGATATACCGATTTTTTTTCTGGAGCCGCGTATAAAGAAATGAAATCTAAAGGTCTCTTCACTGGTCAGCACGATTTAGCCATCGTTCTATGTGTTGATGGGTTCACTTCGAAGGTATCAAGAAAAAGTATGGTGATGGTACACGTTATAATTGCTAGCATTGATCCGTCTATCAGGTAAATTTCGGCTCTATATACAATACATCCAATCTTTTTACGTCGTAATAACACCATTTGCAGATACACCGATGAATATACTTTTCAAGTTGCAATTCTTTTTGGTGACACTAAGAAAGACTTTGACTCGTATCTGCGTCCAATTATTGAAAGCCTTGATCGTTTGAGTCGTGAACCTGTTGTTGTTCGCAAGAATGGTGTTCATGTCACGTCGGCTAGAATTTTCAATTTGGGTGTCATTGCAGATGGTATAGAGATCAACCAGCGGTTGTTGATGTTTAGTGGTCATACCAACTGGTGGGGATGTAGATTTTGTATTGGTAAGTCGTCAGTTTACTAAGCTATGACCGTGGACACTAACAAAATGACCCTTCTAAATTTAGTTAAAGGCGGTCACCCAGTTGACGGAGGAAAAGGTGGTATGTACTTCTTTGGCAGAGACTCGGCTATCAGAACCAAAGCTTCTTTATTACTTGAGAAAGACGCAGTAAGTATTAACTTGTGTAGCCTTTTTTACATATTTTAATTGATTTACCTTTATTAGCCTTCTTGTCCCAACCACAACTATGGTATTAAAAGTGCTTCTCCCTTTGGTCAGTTGAGTACCTTCCTCTCCATCGACTTTTTCATGTGTGACGAGCTACATATGTTTTCGAATGTCAGCAAGCTTTGCTTCGACATGCTTTCACCAAAGCTCAACACTCGGTTCAAGTTTGATGGTAACGAAGACACGTACCCGTTTGCTCTCGAGACTGCTGATTTTACTCGCATCAAAACCGCCATGGATGACTCCCTTCGTGCAATTCCTGCGGATTTCAGTGGTTCGTTTGCTGGTGTCAATCTGGATAATGTTAGATCTATCTATCGTTCGGTGGACTGGATCGCCTGGTTGGTGCATGTGATTCCTACGATTGTTGCCCCACTCTTTCACGCCAGAGAAGCAACCACAGGATTTATTGCCCTGTCTCGTGGTATTCAATTGAGTTTGCAATGGTCGATATCCGAATCTGAAGTGAAGGAAATTGAGAGGTAAATATTCATTGTTGAGTTGTAATTTATGTAGTGATATTTACTTGAACATTATATTTGCTTATGATAGATGCTTTAAGACTTGGTTTGATTACCTCGATACCTGTCTTGATAGCAGCTCTATCTCCAGAACCGTATTCAGATCGAACATGCACCAACTGAACCATATACCATACATGATAAAACGAATGGGGTTAGTTATCGATTGTCATCATAGTTATTAGACTTCCCTTTTGTACTAATTTTTCATTTCTCTGGTAGACCGTTAAGGTGTTATTCTGCAAGATCATTGGAAAGGTCTATTGGCATATACAAGAAGCGAATCCGTTCATCTTTGAATCCTGGTGTCAACGCCGGTAATGTCATGGAAACTCGTGAAATGTTCTCTTTTTTGCAATCCGATGGTATAATCGATAGTTCCGCCTATGATTTGAAGAAGGATAAAGTTAACAACTTCTTGCCCCACCCGTCCAACGATCCATTGTTGCCTCAGCTGTGGTCACCCTTTCACTGGCGGGTAAATACTGTAAAGCTGGGCCAGGTTGTAAAGCAAGCAAAAGAAAAGCACAATCATACCATTGGCGGCTACCTGGCAAAAGACTGGCTTAAAGCACTCTCTCAATTTTTGATTCGTCTGACTGGTAATACTTCGGCTGTTATAACTTCGTTCCATCAGCACCAATTTGTCAACATTTCTCAAAAACTCTGGACAAACAATCAAATATACATATCTGATTTGTGCAAATCGAAGAACGCAGCAAGTTCGCGTGGTGGTGAGTTTGTTATGTTTACTGCAATTCATAAAAATCGGTAAGTTGATGTTTGCAAATCAAAATTATTGTGTACTGACTTATTGTAATTAGGATGTTCCGGCCTATCGAAAACTGGTACGTTTGTAAAGTCTTGTTCTTTTTTGACTTTACATATCAAGAAGGTGCTCCGGGCTCGAACTTCGTTTTTGGTGAACTTATGAAGAATCATGACGTCTCACCATACTCAAAGGCTATCCCGCGCGTGAAACCTTACGATGAGGCTGAGCAAAAAAAATTTGTGGTCTTTGATGCCGAGGATCTTTTGTCTGCTGTCGGATTGGTGAATGCGGTTGACGGCTCCAATAACAAATATGTTATAAAGACTGGTGACGCTTTTAAAGTCGATATGAGTAGTACTGCCGGAAGTGTTGGAAACATTGTTTTCCGCTGAGAATAAAATATAAAATCATTAAAACCCACAGTCACATGTCCCGTTTTCTCATTTTACTTACGTAATCTGAAGTTGTCTTTTTCTTACCCTGGCTATCATCCCCATAAACATTTTTTTGCTTTAAAAAATTACGTTTATCTATTAACATGGTATTGCTACATCTATTTATTTATGTATAAGTTGTTTTTATAGAGATTTAAAAATTTGGCTTTGCGATCAGCGATCAAAAAATCAAAAATATCGGAGATATCGATATTTTCGATTTTTTGAGCGATATCGCCAATATCGATCAAAAAAAACATTTTGATCGCTGATTTATTTTAGGGTGAATAAGTCCTAAGTTTTGATAATTCTTTGTTTGTCTGAGCAAAGAGGCATGATAAATTTAAAAAGAATGGTGATTGAAAAGGAATAAAGCAATAGATTATGTTATGCATAATAGGCCTTCTATCACATCTTGAAATACTACAATATCATTGGACGAAAGAAAAAGCTTGATAGAATTTTAGTTTTCGTAACGCTCTCTTTTCGGGTCAAGAATCAAGAGCAAAAAAGTAACCAATATATTTTATGAAAAGAAACTTGAAAGTCACTTGAGCCTCCTACTGTAACTTTCCTCAGTTATCACCGCAGTCATTATTTATGTAAGGTGTAAAAGATTTAAGCAAGCAACGTCCTCTTTTTTCCCATTCTCTATAATATCAACCATGCCCCCGAAAAATAATAAAGATAAAACCCCAAGAAATGAAACACTGCAGCAGATTATAAATCAATTAGATTCTCAGGAAGTTGATTTAAGAAGGTTGGATACGGTAGAAGCATTATTAGCAAGAAATAATAAAACAAGAATTAATTATATAATATATCAAAAACATGCTGGAAACTATACAATCCGATATCAAAGCTCTTCATAATAGTAAAACACCACAAGAACACCACAACAAGCAAGTGCCAAGCCTTCCATTCCAATTCCAACAATCATCAAGAATGACAGTTTTATACAAAAAATAATTACCTACAAAAAAAGGGACCAAGATTTCCCATTAAGCAAACTTTGTTCCCAAAAGTTGTTTTTTTTTTTTTTTTTTTTTTTTTTTTTGTCAATAGCAAGACAAGACAAGCCGCTGTGAAAGGAGACTGTTTTCTTTGTTTGTTGTGTGTTGTTAATGGACTATGTAAGTAAGGGTGTCTTTTGCAATGAATGTACGTGCTAAACATTTTTCTTCTTCTTCCCTTTCTTAATAGCACCTATACAAGACTAGCCGTTCTGAATAGAAGGGGGTGGGGATGGGATTGCTTCAAGTGGCTGCTTGAGTGCAAGTAAGAGACTCTTTTTGGCATGACAATGCATATTCTTGCTAAAATATTTTTTAATGCTAGCAATACACATGGCGCCTGTTTTGTGGAATGAACTATTAGAAATGGGACGAAAAAGGGCAAATGGGGGGATTAAAAGACCTGACTGACGAAAAGGTGTAGAATGATTTGAGTTATCCACAAAGATGAACACATTGATTGAACACTTGCGATAAAAACGAAAAAGGCGACTGTAAAACCTTTGTGTTTTCTCTGTTCAGCAGCAGTTGGATTGGTTGGCACTTGGTTATGAATATCAACTATTTTACTAGATTGGATGGCACACAATCTCAAGCTCAACTTGGAAAAAAGAAAAAAAAAGGTGTTATCCTCCTTTTCAGCTAATGTGCTGTGGATCAGTTTAGGAGCTGGTGGTGTCTGTCTTAATTTGACCTGTACAAACGGGACACCTCAAGCAAATAAAGGATTCAAATGGAAAAGGGTAAGATGAATGTGAAAGTGGAGTAGATACAGTCGGACTGACATGGTTTATTTACAGGTAGAAGGGGATCGGGTGAATACAAGGCAACCTCTGGATGAGGATGTTGAATTAATGAAAAGGGTGATTATTTTTATTGTTATTGGAGAAGAATGTGTGTGCATATACAAGAACAAGGAGATACATATACTGTAAAGGTGGATGTCACTGCGTAGATTGTGTAAAAAAAAAAAAAAATTTAGACTAAACGCATGAGCTCACACTCAAAACCACATTGATTTTCTTCTTCAAAAAGTATGGTGCGCGTATTTTAGTAAATGCTTAGCCCAAATGTTTTGCTATTTCAAAAGCAGCAAGGTATGGTATATTTTGTTTTGTTGTAATAGACTAAAGCTTTGAAGTATTCGCCATCATTTTTGTACTAACACTTAGACTCTTTTTTAATTAAAAGGGTTTACCGTATATAAAAAGATTGATATGGTGAAATAGAAGTATCCGAGTAGTATAGACGGGATAAAGAGTATTAATTTAAATAAAATAGAGTTTAGTAAAGAAGGTCTTTATAATTGCGAGTTGTGTGAGCACCACAGCTAATTTAAACAGAAGCTGAACTGATAGGAAATAAATGAAATTAAGTGTAGCTTATATGCTTATAAATAAAAGATACAATGATAAGATGTAATAAAGGGATCCATCAGAATAATAATAAAACTAATAAGCCAAAGTATTAAAATATGAGTAAAATAATAGATGAGAATTTTTATTTAGGAGAGGTCTTATGGATGCCTATTTATTTAGTGATGGACGTATAATCCAGTCACTGAAATTAAAGAAATTGGAGAAATTTATAAAAGAGAATGAGGTAATTGCGCCTACTAAGAGGTCCCAGATCTGAGGATAAGAAAAAGATGAAAAGAAGTAGTTTTGATAGGTGCATACCCGAAAAGGTGTATTGCACTTTAGTAGGTGTTTAAAAAGAAAGAAAAATTGGGTTTGCGCTCGATTTGTCGCATAACAATGGCATAGTAACAGCATGGGCTTAAAATCTGTTTTTCGCTATTGTATTAAGGTTCTATGCCGGAGACGAAATAAATAAAGGACGTACCTCTCGTTGAACGTCAACAAACAAGTACAAGATTGTATTCATGTTTCATGGTTACATTTTTTTATCTTGTACAGGGATTTATACCTGATTTATTTCTTCTCCCTGGCAAAGACCTTTGGCAATGTAATATTTAGAAATAAAACCAGTGCTATTTTAATCGAAAGGAAGTTCTAAAAAATAAAAAAAATCTTTGGTGGGTATCTATTACGACCCCGTGTGACCCACTCGGCAGCAACACCGAGTACACGAAACCGCTCTTTTAACTATGCGTTGCACCTAACTTTTGACAAGCGTTTCGACCTTTAACCAGTCTAATTATGAACTTGTGTCAATAATGTATACGGAGAAACACAGAAAAATAAAATGAGATAAAAAAACAGTAAAAATAATATTAATAGTCCTCGATGAAATAGGGTTGTTGAGAGCCGTTTGAAGTGCAGGTAAAATTATTGATTAGTTTGTAATCACTCAATTAAAGCCTATATCTATGACTACTGATGAAACGGGATGCTTTTTCTGGGATATCTGGTTAGCCTGCGTTACACATGTATAACTCACAGGATATCTTATACTGTCATTTTTTTTTTTTTTTTTTTTTTTTAACAATTGCTGTTATATTATGTACGGGATTAATGAAATGATTTCATCTGCGATTTGATATGGTAAATAGTACAATGTAGATAAATAATGAGCTATGTGGATTCTTGATTTATTTTCATAATTAAAAATAAATATCATGGCAAAATTTTAAAATGTTGATATAAATAAAAAACTTTATTCAAAAAAAAAAAAAAAAAAAAAAAAAAAAAAAAAAAAGCTTAGAGGCTTGGGGGCGAGTCGGTAGTGGTGGTGGTGGTGGTGGTTGTGCCCTCCGTGGTGGTGGTGGTGGTGGTGGTAGTGGTGCCCCCCGTGGTGATGATGGTGGTGGTGGTGCCCCCCGTGGTGGTGGTGGTGGTGGTAGTGGTGCCCCCCGTGGTGATGATGGTGGTGGTGGTGCCCCCCGTGGTGGTGGTGGTGGTGGTGGTGTGGGTGGGTGTGGGCGGTGTGGTTGCTGGTGGTGTGGTTGCTGGTGGTGGTGCTCGAGCAGGGCCGAAATTAAGTGCCGTTTGCGCGTATACCACCCGCACACCATTCTTATACGTGGCAGAGACGGACACCGGCTCACCACGGTCTGTATGTGGGTTCCGAGTATGAAAGCTCACGGAAGCCGCCTCGGGGGATTTAAAATGGACATATGCCCATCTAAAATAATGAGTTTTTTGATATAATCATAAAAAAAAGCTGTTTAGACTTACTTTCCCTCGACGACCTTACAGACGTGAAGGACGCCTGGCCAACGCTTAAGGCGCTCCTTCACGCCATCGGCACCGACGCTGACAAAGAGATTGCTCTCTACACGCACTTGATTTTCTTGCACGTAGCAAGAGCGACATCCGTTGGGGTTAGACATTTTTGTTTATTTCAGTAGATAGTTGGAAAAGAATAATCTACCAACCATTTTTTTTTTTTTTTTTTTTTTTTTTTTTTAAATTGTCCCAAAGTAAACTCCGGATTTTTTCTCTTGTCGTGTACCCATGGTAATAGATGGATTCAAGTGGCTAATAGAATTGGTTACGACACTGAAATAAAAACATAAAATATGATTGCTCTCACCCTGAAACTTTTTACCAGTCTAATCGTGTTTTGGACAGATATTGTCGGACCTTTTTAAAAATTGCAATGCGACCGATTTCTCAAAAAATGTAAATCACTGCAAAATCGAGTTTGTTGTTCAATAAATAGATACTGCGATACTTAAATAACTTGTTTAGTTGTTAAGTTAATACGGTGAAAGTAACAAGGGGTCAAAAAGTATATCTTGTTTACGAGGCTTTTGGTTTTACATGACTAGTTTTTTTCTTTTCTTTTCTTCTGAAATCACCATGCTTCTCGAAATTTTTTTTTTGTTTTTTTTTTTTAGTTCCTTCTTGTAAAAAAAAACAAGTTATAGAAAAAAAAGAATGGACAAAAGGTTATTGATAGTACCCGTGAAATGTATTTTGTGGTTTTATGTATGTACTGTTGCTGTTCGAAACAAATCTTTAAAAAGACCATTATTTATGACCAATTTTACGGGCGCCATACTTTTTGACAGAACTCAAACTACTGGTCACGAGGGTTTAAGTAAATGCCCCCGGCTTTCTTCCTTTTCTTTACTTTTCTCTTTTTTTTATGCTTCCATCGGTTTTATCGTCTTTCACGGCGTTTCCTAACTGTCTTCATTGACATTTTATACCTGTATTTGGAAATTCCCAATACTGTCTCTATCGACATTTTTAGATGTGTATTGCCAATCACCTTCACGTGGTCACATATGTCAATCATATTAGTTTTGTATGGGCTGAGAATTGGCACCACCTTAAAACTTTTTATCGATTTTTTAAGAAATCAGTCGAAATATTGGACTGATATTGACGAGTACAAACAATGGTTTTGGCAGATAATACTATTGGATAATAATACAGCTTACGTATTCAATTCACGAGTTGCCTCCCTTGTAAACCCAAACATTTAGATATCATATATTCAAAAAAAAAAAGACATTTTATTGAAAAAAAAGAAAAAGAAAAAAAGAGCTACAAATGTTTGAATAAAGAAACGCACAGATTGGTTTTACAGATAAAAGACGTAAGGGCCCTCACAAGCAACAAAATTAATTTTTTAAAGATCCCGATTAAGGACTTTATTATTATTTTTATTTTTATTTTTTTTTTGTGAAAGGTTATTTCAGACTTTCAAAAGAAAGCTTTTTCCAAAATCCATGACGTTGCTTTTTAATGACCCTTTTTGAACGATTAAAATATAAAGTTCACTCAAAATGCTAACCTATCTGTTATTATTTTTCAAGGACTCTATTGTTTCGATATACTTTTAATTTCTAGAGAAAACAAAATGAACCTATCTCAAATTGTTACAGTAGTTGCTGAATTGCAATACGTTTTATTTGGACTTGGTAATGATATCAAAATGATTATGAAATCAGACATTTCTACACTTCACCGACAACAAAGTCTCCACTACAGTTTTATTGCATTCTCGATGTTGCCTGTTCCATCAGATCGTGAAACTCCCAGTGTGGAAGAAAAGCATTTCCAGTAGCGTTAGCAGCTTCTCTTCTGGTTATGAACGTATTACAGAGGCTAATCCACTTGTTATTCATGGCTGTTTCTTCTACCGTTGATAGCGTTACTGGCATTAAAAGGATCTTCCTTTGCCTTGTTTAAGTTCAGCTTTGCTTGAGGTGAGCAAATAACACCCACGTTTACAACGTAATCGGAAAACAACTCAATCAAAACTTAGGTGCTTAATGGATCCCATATGACGAAGTTAATGGTAGTGTACTTTTGGAAAGGCGTTTTGTTAAATAAAATTGGATAATTAAGAATTGGTAAAGAAAAATGAAGAGGATCACAAACACAACTCTTTTATCAAAAAAAAACAAAAAAAAACATTGGTGAGTTCAGTAGCCCAATTTGGCTGATTTTTTATCTGATAGAAGGATTCTGGGGTCGTTGGATTTTAATCCTTTATTGGGATATTTCGAAAATTTTGGCACTGGAGAAAATTCGATGTTATTGTTAATCGTCTATATATATCCATTTCATCTATTTGGCAAAGTTGTAACCTTTCACAAATAAAATAAAAAAAAAATAATAATAATGAAGTCATAAATCGAAATCTTTAAAAAAATAATTTTGTTGCTTGTGAGGGCCCTAAAGCAAATTCTTCACGTTTTGGGAACAAAAACATTTCGCTCAAAATAGAAACGGCCAGAGGGAGTGTGAAAAATATAAGGTGTTGGGGGGTATCAATTTTTTACAAAAGAGAGGCTACCAAATTTTTTTGCCTCAGCTGATGAAATGACAAGAATCTTGGTATGTAACTTTTTTTTCATTAGCTGAATGTGCCATTATTTTCAAAAATCTCACAACTGTTACATTGTCTGCAGTGTTAATAACAAACTTTTTTTTCCTGGTTATTTTCGTAGGGTACAACAGTTGGAATGCAAGAGCAATGCGAGGCAGCGAAATGACCTTTCATGACTTGAAGTACTGCTTAAAAACTGGAAGTACTGCTTAAAAACTGGAAGTACTGCTTAAAAACTGGAAGTTTTATCAAAAGCGTATTTCAAAAAATAATAACAGCCTACCCACATACCAGTTAGTCACCTGTGCTTTTGATTCATCTAATCATCGTAATGTTAGTTCGGCTTTGAGAAAAAAGCTAAAACGTACTTTCTCGTTCGAAGCAGGACACACTCACCACCCCGTTGCTACACGTACAAAAAAATACGCATTTAAGCAGAGTTTTTTTTTTATTCATTTCTTTAAAAAAAGGACTTATATTCGTTCTTGTTTAGGGTGAACATGCAACTGGTATACCTTCTGGGCTTACGTCTTTTACAATGACTCTCTGGTAAACTTATTCATTCCATTTCTGAAGTTTCTGCCTTTAATTAACGATCCTTTCTATCAACACAGACAGTTGTATCAAAGCTCTGCTTGCAGTTTATTTTGTTGTTGCAATAATTAAAAGGTTTCCATTTATTTTTGTTCTTTTTTCTAAATGTCCTTTCAGACTTAGAACTTCTACCATTACCATCGTAGCAGTGGCTCTGTCTGTAAATGTAACTAGAAAATTTTATTTATGAGTTTTCAATAAAAAAATGTGCTGCTTCATATACAGAGTAATCAACGCATGCGTGCAGTGCCGTACATCCTTTACTATCTGGATTATTTACGTTTTAGTCTTTATACGTATCAGTCTATCTTCAAATATCAAGATATAAATAAATCTTATATTACTATCCATCTTTAATATGATGTGACAATTAACTTATTATTATGTCAACAAACCCGTCCCAATGTCTATTGTCAATATGTGCCGAAAAAAAAAAACGTTATTGCTAAATAGCCAAGAAATTAATATAAGTAAACATGACAAGCACAACAAAGGCTGTGCTCCAAAACGAAAGCTTTATTTAAAAAAAAAATTTAATAGGATGAAATGAAAAATTTAAGTGCCAATTCTTAGCCCATACAAAACTAGTATGGTTGACAGATGTGACCACGTGGAGGTGATTGGCAATACACATCTAAAAAATGTCGATAAAGACAGTTGGGAATTGCCAAAGACAAGTATAAAATGCCAATGAAGACAGTTGGGAAGTGCCGATGAAGACATTATAAAATGTCCTTGATGACAGTTGGGAATTGCAAAATGCAGGTATAAAATGTCAATGAAGACAGTTAGGAAACGCCGTGAAAGACGATAAAACCGATGGAAGCATAAAAAAAAAAGAGAAAAAAAAGCGAAAGTAAAGAAAAAGGGAAAAAGCGGGGGGGGGGGCCTTTATATAACCCTCGTGACCAGTAGTTTGAGTCCCGTCAAAAAGTATGGCGCCCGTAAAATTGGTCTTTTTAAACTCAATAGAGACTAAAGTTTTGTTTGCGAACAGGAACAGGAACAGTACATACATAGAGACACAAAATGCATTTGACGGGTACTATCAATAACCGTTTGTCCATTCTTTTTTTCTTCTATAACTTATTTTTTTTACAAGAAGGAACTAAAACAAAAAAAAACAAAAAAAAACAAAAAAAAACAAAAAAAAAACAAAAAAAAACAAAAAAAAAACAAAAAAAAACAAAAAAAAAACAAAAAAAAACAAAAAAAAAATTTCGAGATGCATGGTGATTTCAGAAGAAAAGAAAAGAAAAAAACTAGTCATGTAAAACCAAAAGCCTCGTAAACAAGATATACTTTTTGACCCCTTGTTACTTTCACCGTATTAACTTAACAACTAAACAAGTTATTTAAGTATCGCAGTATCTATTTATTGAACAACAAACTCGATTTTGCAGTGATTTACATTTTTTGAGAAATCGGTCGCATTGCAATTTTTAAAAAGGTCCGACAATATCTGTCCAAAACACGATTAGACTGGTAAAAAGTTTCAGGGTGAGAGCAATCATATTTTATGTTTTTATTTCAGTGTCGTAACCAATTCTATTAGCCACTTGAATCCATCTATTACCATGGGTACACGACAAGAGAAAAAATCCGGAGTTTACTTTGGGACAATTTAAAAAAAAAAAAAAAAAAAAAAAAAAAAAATGGTTGGTAGATTATTCTTTTCCAACTATCTACTCAAATAAACATAAATGTCAAACCCACGCAAGTGCTCTACCTGTAACAATCCTGAAAGTCAGATTGGTGTCCAAAGCGACGCCTTTCTCTATGTCGATGCAGCCGCTGTGAAGGAGCTCCTTCAAAAATGGCCAAGGGTCTCCCATGTCTGCAAGGCAACCGGGAACAAGTAAGTTTAAACAGCTTTCTTTTTTAATGATTATTTCTAAAAATTCATTACTTTAGATGGGCGTATGTTCATTTCAGAAACCCTACCGACGCGTCTGCGAGTTTCAACGCTCGTTGTCACGAAACAGACCGTGGTGACCCGGTTTCTGTCTTTGCCACAAGCAAAGACGGAAAGCCTGTGACCTATTCGCAGACTCCACCACCACGGCCACCACCACCACCCACTCCTCTCCAAGCCTCCAAGTTTGAATAATACAGCATCTTGTGTTCTTTTTTTTTTTGAATAAAGTTTTTTATTTATATCAACATTTTAAAATTTTGCCATGATATTTATTTTTAATTATGAAAATAAATCAAGAATCCACATAGCTCATTATTTATCTACATTGTACTATTTACCATATCAAATCGCAGATGAAATCATTTCATTAATCCCGTACATAATATAACAGCAATTGTTAAAAAAAAAAAAAAAAAAAAAAAAATGACAGTATAAGATATCCTGTGAGTTATACATGTGTAACGCAGGCTAACCAGATATCCCAGAAAAAGCATCCCGTTTCATCAGTAGTCATAGATATAGGCTTTAATTGAGTGATTACGAAACTAATCAATAATTTTACCTGCACTTCAAACGGCTCTCAACAACCCTATTTCATCGAGGACTATTAATATTATTTTTACTGTTTTTTTATCTCATTTTATTTTTCTGTGTTTCTCCGTATACATTATTGACACAAGTTCATAATTAGACTGGTTAAAGGTCGAAACGCTTGTCAAAAGTTAGGTGCAACGCATAGTTAAAAGAGCGGTTTCGTGTACTCGGTGTTGCTGCCGAGTGGGTCACACGGGGTCGTAATAGATACCCACCAAAGATTTTTTTTATTTTTTAGAACTTCCTTTCGATTAAAATAGCACTGGTTTTATTTCTAAATATTACATTGCCAAAGGTCTTTGCCAGGGAGAAGAAATAAATCCGGTATAAATCCCTGTACAAGATAAAAAAAATGTAACCATGAAACATGAATGCAATCTTGCACTTGTTTGTTGACGTTCAACGAGAGGTACGTCCATTATTTATTTCGTCTCCGGCATAGAACCTTAATACAATAGCGAAAAACAGATTTTAAGCCCATGCTGTTACTATGCCATTGTTATGCGACAAATCGAGCGCAAACCCAATTTTTCTTTCTTTTTAAACACCTCCTAAAGTGCAATACACCTTTTCGGGTATGCACCTATCAAAAATACTTCTTTTCATCTTTTTCTTATCCTCAGATCTGGGACCTCTTAGGGCCCTCGCAAGCACATCAAACTATTTTTTAAAGATCCCGATTAAGGACATTTTTTTTTTTTTTTTTGTGAAAGGTTACAGTTTTTCCAAATAAAATCTTTTAAAATTTTAATAATATGTATGGACGATTAATAACAGCATTGAATATTTTCAGTGCTAAAAAATCCGAATTGTCCAAACGAAGAATTAAAATCTGCAGGCCCCAAAAACCTTCTATCAGATTATTTAATGTCCAAATCGGATTAATGAAATCACAAATGTTGTTTATTTTTCAATAAGAGCCTTTCATTTTTATCGATTTACTTTTTTTCTAACATCTCCATTTTATTTTACAGATATGAGTTTCCAAAATTATTCAAGTGCTGATTTCATCAATGGCCAACGCCCAAACCTCCTGTGGTAAGAGGCCGACCCAGAGTAAACCCTCCGTCTGCTGCACAGATTCCCACTGACGTACCTGTTCCATCCTCTCTACTGGAATGAAGAGTCGTCATATTTCTACGAGGCGTTGTCCAGTAGAATTAAGAATTTCCATTCTATCTTTTTCGAGAAATTCAGATTCTTCGTTGATTCGAACTATAAGGAGCTGCAACTGAGACACGATAAACGCAATTTGTTGTGGGGTCATCATTCTTAAACTGTAATTTTTATCTTTTTAAAATAATAAAAAAATCGGTTAAACTGAAATTTTGTCTTAAAAAAAAAAAGGAACAGATATTTTAGTAATCTGCAAAAACTTTATTGTCAGTCGTGCCTATGACAATCTTGGTTGGCTCGACTCCGACTCCAGATGTGGTTATAGGCCTTCAGGCCGCGCTTTTATTCTCAGTAATATATAAATAGGAATTTTTATATTTGTTGGTAGATGGTAAATGATTTTCCGAAAAAGAGGCTTATCTACCACGAAATAAATTGACAAAAAAAACAGAAAAATCATTAAGTTAAAACTCTCAAGGCAAATTACAAAGTTAAAAGTTATAAAAAAACATTGTAAAATTTATTTTAAAGTTGCGTGTTTGATCTACGGAAATGTGTTTCATACTTATCTTTCATTCTTTGAGTGATTTGCATAGTACGTTGCAAAATTTCATCTACAACCGTTGCCTCTTCTTTTGTCATATACTTGAAAAGACGTGTTAAATCAGATCGAGAATGGTTTAATGTGGCCACGTTATCTAAGAAATGATCCTTTAATTCTTCGTTATGATCCTGTTAAATGATTGTGGCCATAGGAGCCGTCTCCAAAACAGGAACATTATCAACAACGTAGTTGTTGACAGACGAAGGAAAATGCAATGAAAAGTTAGTATGGTTTTTCAACAAATACATATGCTTACATGGCTGTCTTCGTTTGCCGAAATCGGAACAGGAACAAGACATAATGACATTGTCAATGGTTACTTCAATTGAATAATCGATTGAAACACCATCGACAAAGGAGCTAACCTGATACCTTCTAATTCCTTCAACATCTACATCCGAGGGACCACCAACCATTCTCTCTCTATCCCCATCATCAACTTCCTCAGCCTCAAGCTCTCTGATTCTTTGCTGCTTAAAGAAGGGTGACATCGCACCGTTACCCTGAATAACCCTTTCAAATTCTTGAAGGAGGTAATACTCGACATCATTGACCAAAACAAAAACGAGCTTGTCGAGTCTCTTGTTTCTAACTCGGCCCAAAAACACGGTCTTCAATTGATTGTGCCAAGATTCGATAAAGTTGTTGGTCAACATATGAGAAAATTGGATGTCTTTGTACGATCTACTCCAAACTTTAAACTTGTCTTCAGTACGCCAGTTTCTGACGAAGTAGTCCATAAACTTGGTTTGGTCGGCATACTCTTCTTGGAAACCAATAATCTTTTGATGGAACTGATCAAGATCTTCTTCGTATACGATGCGTTGTAAATAGCTCATCATTTCACCTCTGAGCACTCTATTCTGAGAAGGTGAAAATTCAGGAACAGAAACAGAAGCAAGATGTTTGTTCCAAGCCTGAATCACATGGAAAATGCAGTACTGAATCTTTGTCTTTGCTGGATCAAAGGTGTTGGTAATTGCATTTACCTCGGCCTGGCAACAGTCAATGGTAAATTGTTCAGGATCAACCAAAAGACAGGCATCCCTCAAATGCTGAAGCCATTCAACAATTGGTCCAGTGCCATGATCATTGGTAATCATATAGGCAACTGGCCATCCTCTGCCAATGCTATTATCACGAATGATCAAAGTATACAAAATATCGGCCATATTGCTGGAAATACTATGAGTGGCATCCAAACAAAACGCACTGGAATTCTTCATTCGAATCTTCTGATCGGGGGAGACAAACCCACAGGCGAACAAGGATGGGTCCTCAGTGCATGCCAATTTTCCAGTAAAGCATTCGTAGCCTTCAGATGGCAGTTTTGTCTCAATCCAAATTTTAAAAGACACCATATGATCCTTATGAAAATGATACATCTCCTTATCAACCTAAAACGCGTTATTGTTAATATCAATATTCCATAAATACTGAGTTTATATAGTCTGACCTTGTTCATAGTGTTCCAGATATCATGGTAATTAACCTTACGATGAGACTTGCGACCATAAGAGTCAGCTGCCTTCAACATATCAATTCTAATTTGACGAGGAGTCTTTGATAAATGCTTCAGCTGCTGCAAAATCTCATGTAAACGGTCTCTTGGGAGAGAAAGAGTGCGAATATCGTCCATAAAATCTCCAGGAACATGGTTTGTATGATCCTTTTCGATAATGAGCTCATAGAACTCGGGATAAGCATAAAAGCTTCTAACACGAAGAGTGCACTTGCAGTCAACCTTTTTCGATTTTTTTTTGAACGGGTCGATCCTTGGCAACAGACTTGTAAGTACCAGCACGATGACAGCAATACTGTTGAGAGAAACGGAGAGAAATGCTTCTAGCCTTAGCTTCTTCAAGAGAGAAATCCAAGGGTTGCTTGTTGGAATTAGTGATTCTCCAGCCATAGGCACAAGCTTCGTTGATTTCGGCCAGGCAATCCTTCCAGCTAGCTGATTCTACTTTAATTGTTACGCCAGTATTTAACTGCATTACACCGGGCAAAGTTGAAGGAGTAAGGGCTTCCATAATGTTTGTTAAAGAGTATATCATATTGTTAGATGACATAATTAGTTCAGGGTTGTAATAAAAAAAATTCTTATCAAGCGCGTGAAGCAGACAGGTGCTTAAAAAAAAAAAAAAAAAAAAAAAAAGGGAATCACAATCCTGTTTTCGGAAAATCATTTACCATCTACCAACAAATATAAAAATTCATCACATTGGATGTCGGAGTGGAATCAACTGGAATTGTATTAGGAACAACAAACAATTATTTCTTTAAGCATTATTATTACAGTTCAAATTTCTTTCGTCATGTCGTAAAAGTGCCATAGATTTTTATTGCCCCCAAATATTAATTAACTAAATAAGGGTTGAATACACCAACTGTCAATATATCCTTTTTCCTTTACTAAACATCATTGAACAATTTCTATAATAACCAATCCCACTTCGAGCTCTTCTGTTCCACTCGTAATAGGGTTAGATTGACAACCCGTATTCATCCATGTCCTACCTGCAACAGAGAATGAAAATTTGAAGAATCACCGCAGAATCCATTCTGTTAATGATCCTGCTGATACCTATGAGGATGTCGAATGTGCTTTACCTGCTAGCAACAATGACCCATTGACTTCCTCTCCTATTGATTTAAATAGTGCTTCTCCTATGCAACAAGAAACACCAGCAGGTAAGTTATATAAAAGTGCAAGGTGTATGACTAAACACTTACTTCGATTTTTTGGGTTACATGTAACAGTCTGCAACGATCAAAGGGATTTGGGTGAAAGAGTTCCCTATTTAACTGAATGTAGGTTTGAGGAAACCGAGGGCCTTGCTCATGCTTACAATAATGCCGGTATAAGTGAGAATAGCTTTATCAACGGCGATTTGTTTAGTATCTAGCTTTCCAAGTTGGTTGACGAGAACGAAATTTCTCGAGCGGGATACAGAGGGCTGGTAAGTTTGATTAATACGGTTATTAGAGACCACGCTCAAATTATGGAAGGAATACATACATCATTACTGTGACAATTCCTGTTACGTAAGCATATTATTAAAAACCAAACAGAGCCACATGCCAAAATATCCCACGGTGATGTTATTAATGCATTAGTCAAGTCCAAGTCGACTATTCGCGATCATAAGTCTGATACTTGTAAGAGCGGATGCAAGCTTTTTGTAATTGCAGTGATGATCAAACGTGTCCACATTGCAATGAATCCAGATACAAGAATCAGAATTATCTGGCACGTGCAGCAACCACCACCATCATGTCCGTCAGTGATATGCTTTCACAAATGCTTGCAGACCCAAAAATAAGGGATCTTACGCAGTATAGAGTGAACAGGGAAACAAGTGAAGGTGGAATTCGTGATTTTTTCGACGGTCAAGATTACAAGCATTTTGTCAATTCATAAGAGTTCACCAATCCAGATGATATTGCTATCGCTTGATGTAATGATGGTTTCGCTGACTGCCACAAACACAAGATAACTCATACAATGATCCACGCAATTATCTTCAACTTCGACCCTTCTATTAAGTAATTATGCATTTCCTGTAAAATAGTAATATAAATTAATATTACTCCTTGTTAAAATATTCGGATGCATACTTGCTACAACTAGCCATATTGCCAGGTCAAAATAAACGAAAGGATTTGCATTCGTTTTTAGTGCCTATTATTTTGGAATTGTAGGACGTCTCGGTTCATCGGATGTTAATTCAACAGAACGAGCAAGAAATCTGCAGAGCAAAGGTACACCTAGTAATGGCTTCCGGTGACATTCCTGCTGTCGCCGATATGGCACATGTGGGATCCCATCCAAGTCCGTTCGGCTGCAGAATTTGTGAAATTATAGGACAGTAGCAGACAATCGACGTGGAGTGATGTACTTTGACGATAACTTCGTATCTTTAAGACCTTTATCCGATTTCAAGCAAGGCAATCCTGTAAGTTAAAATTAATTAACTGACTACTATGGTTGTAATAACATTTATTTGAATGTCAAGGGTACGAACATATATCAGCCAAGCATCTTAAGTGAATTTCTTTCGTTTTTGGGTTCATTGTTTTTTGCATTGGATGAGTTACATTTGATAGCTAGAGGTATTGGTAAGATTGTGAACGATTTCATCATGGTGGATATTTCCAAAAAAAAAATGCCTTTTTATTCCAATGTCGATCAGACCAAGAGCAAAACCGGCTATCCTTTTTTCATCCCAAAACCCAAGTTGATAGAAATAGGCAGCGCCATTAAACAATTAAGGATATACATACCAGGATAGTTTCGATAACTTGATAGCAAGAACAGATGGGTCTCGTGCTGTAGATTGGTTAAATTTCCTTTTATATGTTGTTCCAACATTAATCATCCCACAACTTCCAACCCAGAGCTCGAAAACAGCAATCCTTTCGCTGGTAAAAGGGTAAGTTCTTGCCTTGAAATGGGAGGTTCTACAGCAAACTCTGGTCGAAATAGAAACGTAAGTAAAAAGAAATAATGATACCTCGCATAATATTTTGTTACTCACCCCCTTTAATTAACTTTCTACAGATTTTTTCAAAATTGGCATGAATTTCTTGTTGAACAGATGGGTCATAAAAGCCTATCTCGTGCTGTGTTTCGACCAGTTCAACACTATTTAATCCATATTCCGTTCATGATTAGAAAACAAGGTCCTCTACATCCTTAGTCGACAAGATCCACGTAGCGTCCTGTTGGAAAAACTGATAAGACCTAATAGACAAAGTGGAAAAACACCAGTAATACCATCGGAAGAATTACAACTTGGGCTTGTGTTTAGAGGGTTGTAGATATTGAGTCTATCTTGAATATAGTCACAGCAAGACCGTATGATGGTGAATAAAGCTTTGTGCCCAGACGATACTGGAGGAAGTCAATTGTGGTAGCCTTTTGACAAGTCGAGTTATTGTCATCAAATTTGTTGATAGAAGGGGTTGAATAAGAGGTGATCATGAAGGCTTTAGACAAATAGTAGCGACACACGCTTTCTGATCAACAGTTCACACTAGACAAATATACAATTACAATGGCAGCAAGCATGTGGAAGGGATCGACTGTATACGTGACTCAAATATACAGACGGTATAAAAAAGAAGTGTCGCGTGGAAACCAGTACGTCATGTTCTACAGTCTATATCAAAAGTAAGTATCGTGCGATATTAAAAAGTAAATAGCCAACTCACCCCTCTTTTGATAGTTTACGAAATGTCACGAAGCAATGTTGGTTTGTTGGCTCCGTTGCTTTTTATTTTGCGCTTAAGCCTTTTTAATGGGCAGATGCAATTCTTGGTACCGATGGAGGTAATGAGCCAGCATGGGGCTTTGAACCATGACACGTCGATCCCAGGGGTCAAGATGATGGCACCAACACAAACGCCCAAATATGCTGTTGTAAATGTGAACGACATCATAAGTCAAGTTGGGTTGGTAACATATCCACAAGTCGCAAGACAGTTTTACGTTATGCTCCGTACTATGTGTTTGATGATAACAGACAGGCATCCGCTGGTAGATGTAATATGCTGTATGTTGTTGATCTTTTTTTTTTTATTTTTTTATCTTGTGATCCGATCACAGGAGTGTAATAAACCTGTTATATATATTTCTTGCTTCATATAATGTCTCAACAAGGATAGTAGTATTAGAGTAGTTTAGAGGTAAGAAAGTAAAAAAGCGGAGAAAAATGTTTTTATTAAAATGTAAAAAAAAAAGCGTTTAGCTACAAAAAACCAGATTCTTCATATTAATAATTTTTTTCATTTCTTTAAATTTATAAAGGCTAATTATACGCGCACCATACTTTTTGCTTGAAAAAAAAATCTCGCGCACCATACTTTTCTGTGCCGGTCAAATAATAAATTCCGGGTCGGACCAAAAATAATTTTTGCACATTGAACTTTTTTCTTGCGCACCATGCTTTTTTCGCTGGCGCACCATACTTTTTTTCGCTGGCGCACCTTACATTTTTTGGCTGGTGGACCATTCATTTTCCCTAGCGCACCATACGTTTTTTTCGCTGGCGCACCATACTTTTTTTCGCTGGCGCACCATACTTTTTTTCGCTGGCGCACCATACTTTTTTTCGCTGGCGCACCATACTTTTTTTTTGCGCACCACACTTTTTCGCGCACCATACTTTTTTTCGCGCACCACACTTTTTTTTGCTTTATTCTTTTTCTTTTAAACTTTTATTTTAAAATGAATTCAAACGATTCACACCAATCTTTGAGTGAAAGCCAATTGTTAATCAACAGCCTTTTGTCTGTAATTAACCCCGCTGAAGAAGTTAAAGATAGTTTCGAGGAGATCTTCGACAAACAAAACGATGAACAAACCGATGCTGGAGAGAAACTGGCAGATGAGTATGACTGGGAATGTCTTACTGACCCGGAAGATGAGGATATCAGCGTCAAAGCTACACGAGATGTTCCTTCATTTGCTGAGACTGTCCAGCCGAATGAACGTGTCATTGAGGTAAAGGCTGCTTTTATAGCCGAATTTCCAGTTGGAAAAACATTCTTGGACAAGGAAGCTGCAAGACTTCAAATACAGTCTTTTGGTATGACCAAGAATATCCCTTTTGAGACTCTCAAAAGCGACAAATCTTACATCAAGTTGATTTGTAAGCATTTTGGTAACTAACGTTCTGCCAGAAAGGGTGAAGGTAATTGTAACCATAATCTGGCATAGAGTGGAATATTAATTCTGTAAATTGTTTTCGAAAATAGATGCAGAAGATGCAGGAAATGATGAAGGATTAGAGAGTGGGGTTCAACGACCTAACAGAACCACTGGACGAACAGGATGCTCCGCATTTGTTTATGTCCGTAAGGATGCGAGAGCTATCGGTCAGCCATGGACAATTCGATCCAGCTGTTTCGAGCACAATCACCCTTTGAGTGAGGATAGAAGGGTGTATCATAACAACAGAAAGCTCGAGGCCGAAGATCAAGAACTCGCAATTAGTCTCATGCGTGCAGGAACAACACCAAGTGAAACTTTAAAGGTAAGGTTGAAAGTTGATATGGAGAAATTAATCGTTAGTAGAGCTGTAATCATAATAAAAGTTATTGTTTTGCCTATAATCTTTATAATGTCTTTATATGCCCCCTTTTTATGCCTTTTAATAACACTAACACGCTGGTAAATAGATTCTTGAGACAAGAGGTGTCAATAACTTAATTGTCACGGATTTGACTAATATCCAACAACAATTTTGTCGGGATAACCACACTAACATGTGGAACTTTATTAAAAACCTCGAGTCCAGTGGCCATCAGGTTCGTTACATGACAGATAACGATGAAAGAATTTGTTGTGTGTTTTTTATACACCAACATGGCATTGACGAGGCCAGAAAGCTTTCGGAGTGTATTGTAATCGATGCAACATACAAGACCAACTCCCACAAAATGGTCTTGTTAAATTTCGTTGTAGCTGGTACTTTGCGTTCCAAAGAAAAGCCCAAGCAATTGACAACGGTACCTATTGCAGGATGCTGGATGGATCGTGAAACAGGTGATCGATACCGATGGGCTTTAAAATGCTTTCGTGAGATTGTTTGGCCCGTTGGTGGAAGCACGGAGGACTTAATAAAGTGCTTTGTAACTGATAATGACGAAGCCTTATTAGGAGCAATCAAGTCTGTATTCCCTGACAGCAAACAAATTTTATGCTGGATCCATGTGCAGAGAAATTTTATTTTGAGATTTAAAAAAAATCTGTCAAAGGAGAAGAGACAGGACAGTATGTAGGAATAATAGAAAGAAGTAAATATGTCCCTATCAATTTTCATCTAAGCATAATAACATAGGAAACGTTCTGGAAGTGGAAGTTAAGTCATTCATGGCCATCGTAAAGAAAATGGCTTTGACATGTGCAACAAAAGCCGAATTTTTAAATGCCAAAGATGAATACGAGGCTTTTGTGTCCACGAAGGGTATGTGTATTCAAGGTGGTGCCCAGACATTAATTAAATACCTTCACTAGTAAGCATTTATTTTTCCTATAACATATTTGTCTAAATTAAATTACGTACTTCGTTTATTAACTCGAACATATAGCATGATGCTCAAAAAGCAATATTGGGTTGGATATTATGTCAACAATTTTATGCATATGGGTAATCGAACATCAAATAGAGTCGAGTCTACACATGCAAACATCAAAAGAAGTAACAACACTTCGTCTGGTAGCATGGCTGTTGTTACAGAAAAAATTGATCTGTGGATTAAAAAAAGAGTACGTAATAGCTGAACCACAGTTTATATTTTGTTTACAATTCTAAAAAAAATCTGTTTTCTAGGAAGACTACCGCAACTTACAGTCAATCAAATAATCCGTCTCTCAACGACCAGTTTTTTTAGAACATGATATCATGGATAAACTTTCCTTGATAAAATTGAATGTTTCCAGCTTTGCTTTCGAAAACATCAAGAATGAGTTGATGGAAATGAAAGCTTCCGAGGAAAACCCTGTCCACGTAAGCCATGTCTTATCTGGTGGGAGCTGCCTCTGTAAGCTTAGAAGAAATTTTAGGCTTCCATGCAGACACATCCTTGCTGTCTCGTTTATCGAAGGAAAAATTCCATTAAACGTGATTCACCAAAGATGGAGAATCTCATATTTTGAGGGCAGCGGTAAAAATTCAATGTCTTACAAATTTTATTATCCTTCTTAAAACTAAACTAATAATAATGTACTTCATAGTTGCTACCGTGGCCGAAGTTTCTGCCGAATTGGCTAAAGGTTCTCCGGACGAATTGGATATCAATACAACAGAAATCCAATTAAGACTGGAAAAATTGATGTCTTTGTGCAAGGTTTTGGGGAGCCAACAAGAATCCGTTGATCTCATAAAGGACATGGATGCTTTGATCAGTAAGTATTCAAACGATCGTTTAGAAAACACTCTCGCACCAAAAATTGTCGAAATACAGAAGGGTCGTCCTAAAGGCACCAAAAGAAACAAGCTTGGTGTGGAGCACGAAGACGAAAAAATATCTAGCGAGCAAAAAAATGCGAAAAAAAATAAGCAAGAACAAAAAAAAGTAGAAAACAACAAAACCCAAAAAAATAAACCAAGTCTTCGTGAGCCATCGACAACAGCCATCAATAAGCTCAGATCAAAGTAAATTTATACCCTGCTTAATATTTCACGGTATTAATATCTGTATTTTTTTAGATACAAACCATCTGAAGTAGTAACACGCGACTCTGACAATAGCAATCTATTCAAGATGCTAGATAGTCAGTATGCCAACGATGTTCTCGGATTTGTTAATCCCACTCCCGATGGCAATTGTGGATTTCGCGCTGTCAGTGCTGCTGTTTTTGGACACGAAGAAGCCTGGATCCAGGTCAAAAAAATGATGTTAGCTACTTTTTTAAAGTATGCTAACTCCATTTATGACAGCTACGGTTTAAACGAAGCCTACATAACAACAAAACTTCAGTCAACAAAAGCGCCATGTCTTGACAATTTGAATCTTTGGTTTGATTGTTATGGCTGCCCTCAAATAGTTGCTGATACGTTTAGACGACCCGTAATCTTGCATGCAACAACGCCAAAAACGGACAAATACGATAATCTGTGGAGGGATGATGACGGAAACGTCATTTATACCAAGGATGCAATAACTTTTGTGCCATTTCTTGGTTTAGATTTGGAGAAAATGAATGAACCTATTGTTCTTTTTTTTATTAACAGTCATTTCTATATGATTGAGCCCATCGTTGACTCCAAAACCAAGAAAGCCATTATCCCAAAAAAATGGCCAACCATCAATTTCTCTCATCAAAAAATATTCAATGCGCACCGGGACATCTGTGTTAACGACGTATCTGAATATTATCAAAATAACTAAATCTTTTTTTTTTTTTTTACCTATCACTTATCCTTATTATACTTATTCTTATCACATTTATCCTTAAAATTATAAAAAAATAAAATAAAAAACTTAGACAAATAAACATGAGATTGAACTCAAAAGCACAGTAGGAACAGTGATGGAATTGTTTAAACTATTTAACATCATGTTTGCATCCATTATGTGTGAGAAAAAGTATGGTGCGCGAAAAAGTGTGGTGCGCCAGCAAAAAAAGTATGGTGCGCCAGCGAAAAAAAGTATGGTCTGCCAGCGCTAGAAAAAAATTCATGTGCAAAAATTATTTTTGGTCCGACCCGGAATTTATTATTTGACCGGCACAGAAAAGTATGGTGCGCGAAATTTTTTTTTCAAGCAAAAAGTATGGTGCGCGTATAATTAGCCAGTAAAAAAAATTGGCAATAGTTCTCCTTTATTTTTTAGGGTAATTATACGGACACCGTTTTTTTTGGTGTAAAAATAATTAGGGACACCGTTTTTTTTTTTTTTTTTTTTTTTCACTGTAAAATATTTTCAGGGACACCGTTTTTTTTTACGGACACCGTTTTTTTTTTTTTTACTTTTTTTATATTAAACACGAATCCACAATGATTGAAATGACCGAAGAAATGTTGAACGAAACTGAGCTGCTTATTCAAGCGCTTCTTTCCGAGTATAACGATGAGGAGAACATTAACGATGGCTTCGAAGAAATGTCTACCAATGTTAGCAAGAAAGAACGCGAAGACGCTCCTGTCAAAACAGGTCTTATGGACGAGTTTGACTGGAACACGGTCAGTAATGTTGAAGAAGAGGAAGTAGAAGCTGATGAAGAAGGAAGCTATGAGACTGATTTTCCAGTCCC